TGGATGGCAAAGTATCTGAGTGCTTCACAATTGAAGAATGTGTTATGTCCCCAAGGTTGTTTAATGCTTTCATGGATGCGTGCATGAGGAGATCAAGTGCCTGAGTGTGGAATAAGAATTGGAAATGAACAAGTCTGTTTGTCATTTGAAGTATGCAGATGATATTAGCAGAGAGCAAGGAAGAGCTTCAAACACTTGTGTCTAATCTTGAAGACACATGTGGGGAATATATATTGTGAATAAATGTGAGTAAAACTAAAATGATTTTGTTTGAACACAAAGTTGAGCAAATGAATTGCATGATTGAGCTGGGTGGTAAACAACTGGAACAAGTGAATTAATTTGTATATTTAAGAAGCATGATAGATAAGAATGAATGGATAGATAGTGATTTCACCAGAAGAGTGAATGCAGGCAAGCAAGTGGTGAGTGCAATGAGTAAATTTGCAAGGGATAAAAGGATGACCAAAGAAGCGTGAATGGCTGTTTGTGGGAGTATTGTGGTGCCTGTGCTCATGTATGATAGCAAAACTTGGGTATGGCAGAAGGGTTACAGGAGTTGCATTAATGATTTGAGATGAGGTATTTAAGAGGAGTGTATGACATACAAGGAGAGACTCAACTCAACATCTTTATTAATGTAATAAACATACATAGCCTGATTCCACATATGCATTATCAGGCAAAGACCAGAGGTAACAGAACAACAAATTTTGTACATGGGTGGAGAAAACACATTCAATCATGTGATTTATAGGATTTTGCATAAAACCGAACGCGAAGTAAAGAGACTGTGAGAAATAAACAAATGCTGGAGGAATGTGGTGTGAAAGAGAGTGGGGTTCAAAAAATGAGTAAATTAGCTCTATGATGATTTGGCCACATTGAGAGAATGAAAGAACTGTTGAAGAGAGTATACTTGAAAAAGATAGATGGAAAGTGTAATATGGAAAGACTGAGAATGTCGTGGTTGGAACAAGTGGATAAGTATCTGAAAGAGAATGTGAGGAAATGTGCTAAAAGAGGTATGAATGTGCCTGAAGCAAAAGGTTTCAGATACATCCATATGTTATATACCCACCATGGGCAAATGTGGCTCTTTTTGAGTTACATGCAGCTCTTGCTGAATGTGTTAATTTCTGCTTTTTATTATTATTTTTACAATTTTATTTCCACAATTTTGTGAAAATATGTTTATTAAAAAAATTCAATATTTATTTTATATTATATTTATATTATATAATAAAATCACGGTACAGGACTGTGGTACAGAATAAAAAAGTACAGAACTGCGGCTCCCATGCATTTTGCAAAACCTACATTTTGGCTCCCACTGAACTCTTGCTTGCCCACCCATGCTATAGAGTATGACAATTGTACAACTCTTTTAAGTGGTAGTAATAATTGTTAATTTTTCTAGTTACAGATTTTACACCAGGTACTAAATCCATACAAGTTCAACCATAGTCCAGTGATGGTGCAACAGATTCCAAATTCATCCAAAGCAGAGTAACAGACAATGATACAGTTTTTGTTAGTGGAAGGTAGCAGCCCTGTAGATATTCATTGATGGATTATTGCAATTTACAGAGATGCTTGTGTGTGGCATCTCTAATAATCCTGTGTCTTCTCATTTTGGACACACAGGCATCTGTAAATTTCCATCATCCATCAATGAATCTCTGTAGGGCTGGAATGAAAATAAACTGTATCACTACCTGCTGGTCTGCTTTGAATGGATTTGGAATCTGTAACCAAAAACAATTAACAATTTCTACTACTGCCACTACTACCTATGAGAATTATACTTGAAAACAATTGTCATACTCCATAGTTAATATTACACCACAATACCCATATATAGATCATAGTTGGTGCAAACATACACATTTTGATTGCATTTTATGTAATGTACATTTGCAGACACTATTTAATAAAATAATTATACTTTGTTATGAATTTATGAATGTTCTTTTAATTTTATTAAATTACCCTCAAAAATATACTGTTGTGCTAGGGGCTGTCCATTAATTATATGTACTGTTTAACAGGAGGGAGAGAATCATGAAAGTATATTATTGCAAACAACAATGAGGGAAGGGGTCAAGGCATTGTCTACAGACTTTTTTTTAGTGGTTTTAGTAGGATACAAATAGGATCTTATAAGCCTATTTACTAGTTACATGAATAAACTAGCAATTAAAATTGTAAAAGTGACCTTAAGTTCTGAAAAAAAGGTCCATAAATTGTTGTAAATGTAATTAAAGGGATGTGTTTGCCAAAAGTACATCATTGTTCACAACAGGGAGAGGAGAAGGTTAAAAAATTGGTTCAAAAACTGTACAAATAATTAATAGACATCTTATAAAATGGTCGTGTGTGTGTGTACATACACATACTATCATCTTTTTTATTGTGTGTATATATATATATATTTCAGCTGATAACTCAAATAAAGCAATTAGAGATTTTCCCTCCTATATCTTGAGTTATTTTTTATNTCGCCGTCTAGTGGCGCTATGGAGAGTTTAGGCTAGCTATCGTCTGTACAGTATGTAAATTAGGTACCGTAAGTCTAATATAGCACTGTAATTTTATACGTTTCTTGTGAAAGAAACATTTCTTATTCAACGGCCATAAAAATTATTTATATTAATGATGTCTCCAAAAGTCAACGAAGTTTTCGCAGAAAAATATCAGAAATCGCGGCCGCCGTTTGATGCGCTGTTCCGCGATGAAAACAAGCTTTAGCAACGGGCGTAGTCAAACGGTGCACACTCGGCAAGTAATCCTACAATTTTTTGTTTATAACGTAGTTTATACGGATTATTTCCAAAAAAATATACGTATTTTGGAAATGTTGAGTCGAATTAGTCTAGAATCGATTCATTTTATGGAAGAAAACCTTTCAAGCAGCCGTAGTAAACTGTGATTCCTACAAAATTGATTCATAAAGAACGGAACATATCTACCGTCTTATAGGGGGATCTACTGTATTTCCTATTCTGTGTAAGTTTAGTATTTTACAATGGACTTTGATGGCCGTTAATAAAACTAACAGGGTAAAAGCTATTTGATGAGTTCATTATTGCAATTTAAAATCAGCATATACCATAATTTTGGACAGATAACTTATGAAAATGTATACTGTAAGAGCAAAAATTAAACCTTTATATAATCTGCTCTACTATATAACCTGTACCTCTGGGGCAGTTGTAAAAAGCAAAATAATTACTGGTATGCAGTTTAGAAGGTCTTTGCTAACATGCATTTGAAGATGCCTCATGTGTATGGTATGGTACTTAGTCTTAACAGGAAAATGGCTACTGAGAAATTCACCCTTGTATTCACTGGCAGGTGTTTATGAACTGTCCCAATTATGTAAACAAAGTGTAAAAATAAATAAATAAGATTTATTGTTTTATTTTATGATTAATTTCCTTTATTCAATAATAATAAAATTGTGAGATCCGGAATTTTGGTGACGGAAATATTGCTCTTTTATTAACAAAATTGTTAATTAATTAAACTTTCGTTTACGTAACGCCCTAGAAGAAAAAAAAAACGATCTTGCCCGGGATTGTGTAAACTTTCCGGTCATAAGTAGCAACATCCATTGTTCTCTGCAGAACTTGCATCTCATCTTGCAAAAAGGTTGATAGTTAGCATCTAAATGGCGTCATTTGTTGTAGATCCTAGGAACACCTATAACCCCTAACCTATGTACATCCGATCACGTGGTGGAAATTCCCCACTAAAGCGGATAAAAGGCCGTTCTTACCCCCTCTGAGGGAAGCCTACGAACAAACGCAGGTTTAACGACATTGTGCCGATCTTCCGAACCTGCGGAATTCCGATCTCCGATGAACCTCGAATTAAATCATCGCTAAAGTTGCGATATATATGATTTGTGCTGAAACTGGATTATAACCCTTGGATCGTTCAGAATCGTCAAAGGGGACGGCTATACAGAGGTATGAAAGCACGGTGAAACTCTCTCTAAGTCGGTATAGAAACTTTGTGTCTTTAGGTCGGTATAGAAATGAGCTTTGTGTAGTTTTTGTCATTTTGCCTATTCTTAATAAATTGTTGTTTTATATTCATTAAAAATATGGTAGACTCCTTTACTCAATCTCGCCCTTCCCCTTATCGTCGACCCCAATCAACTCTCCTTACACTCGCCTGACATATCATCCTGACCATTGAACGGGAGCCTTACGCCCCCGTATTCACAAAATAAACTCAAAATTGTACTTATTTTCAACTTCTTATATTTTGTATTAGACTATAATTAAGATAGATTAATTCTCAATTATTTATTAAAAAATTAAATCTGTTAGTCCATAGAAATAGGGTCATTGTAGTAAAAACAGTAGGACACCATAGTTAAACACAGTGTCATTTCTTACAAACATATGAATAGATAATTGTTGACTTGGTAGATCAGTTACCTGCCAGTGACCAGTTGCATAGTGTGAATCAATTTTAACAAGTGATTGGAATTTAAAATCTGTATATAACCCACAGTAACTCATCCAATTGCATAACCTACATCTGATTTCAAATTTCCATAGATAACCCATGGATTCGTCTTTTCTCCAACACTGGTAACTAGTTCAGGTACGTGTTAATTTCATCCTGGTGTTTTGTGAATGTAGGAGTTAACCCATGGATTATCTATCTAATTTTCTGCAGCTCACCCATGGATGTAAACTATATAAAGAACTTGTTCTGTTTTTAGGATGTTTAAATCATTGAATGACATGGAGTTTCTATATAACTGTTTAGATAAATTTTCTATTAGTATTCAAAACAAACTTACAATACATCTTCCTGTATTAGCATCGCATGATTCTGAATGTCCATTGCAGTTACATCGAGTGCAACGACCTAAACCAGGACCAGCCGTATCTCTGATATATTCTGGAGCACATTCCTATAGCAAAAAGAAATTAAATTAGTATAAATTAAAAGCTATAAAGAAAAACTTAATACAGTACAACTATTCTTTGCAAAAAGTCTAAATTATATGAAACTATATACCTCACATGATAATCCTATGTAACCTGGTGGGCAAACACACTGTTCAACTTCAACAGCAAGACCTTGGCCAGAGTCCTGAGGAACTGCAGTATCAAGTATTACATTCCTTAACATAGTCTGCTGCATCTTTGAATGGAATGATGCACGAATCAAAAGTGCTTCAACATTTGCTAACACTCTCATAAAATCTTCTCTAGTAGCAGATGTTGGCCCACGTGAATCTACTCTTTGCCAATTATTCTTATTGAAAAGAAATATCAATTAATATGAATTGTAATCAAATTAAAAATTGAAGACTAATGATAGTTTACCTCTTTCATTTCAATTTCAAATGTTCTACTTTCCAGAGGTTTTAAAGTTGCATTATTTACATAAAATATTGTAATGCCATAGCCCTATAAAAATATATCATTTCTGAATATAATACTGTCAATATGCCAAAATTGAAAAATCATAAAACAATTTTTTAAATCAATATAAGGTAATATAACAAAAATTAAATAAAAAATACTGAGATATAAAATTTAAAATAAATAATAAAAATTCAAGGAAAATTCAAATATTTAAGGATTAAGTACTGAAAATATCTTGTATCTTTTTTAAAATGTCTTCAAAAAAGTTTTTGTATATAAATAACTAATGCTACCTAACATAGTTATTATTCATTGTATTTTTTCTTCTAATAAATATCATATAATGAAGACTATCTAAACATTTCAAGAACCAGTTTAACAAAGATGATAAAAATGATATTTGTTTCTTTCAGTAAATTCTTTTTTAAATATAATGCACTGAATATATGAGAGGTTTGTCCAAAAAGTCAAACTTTTAAAATAAAAAACCAGTGCAAAGGCATAGATATGTCAAATGGATTTTGGATCAAACCACTGATGAGGGATTGCAAATTTACAAACTTTTTTATTACTGGTAAACCAGTATATAACCAGTAATTTAAAAATTTTTCCTCCATATACAAAAATTAGCACATTAAATGACTGTTTAGTGTTTAGCAACTAAACAATCTTTAATGCTCTATGGCCAATTGAATTCCCTTTTTTCTATTTTTAAAGCAAAAGCTTCATTGCCTAAAAGATAGACATGCTATAATCTATTAGTTGCCTTGATTAACAAGTAACCAGTGCAAGCACTCACAATCATATAAATGTGTTTCCATTTTGTCAATTAAAATGTTACTTGACTAAAATCGTGATTGTGCTTTAGGATTACAGGTTAAGAAACAAATTTCCAAACTGTCCAGCATGGTGCCGTAATATGATACTTTTAAAATTATAAAGCACTGTAAAGTAATACTTTAAAAGATAGATTATGTTAACTACATTTAGGGTTTAAATAAAAATGTTTGATGCTTCTATCTTTAATTTTAACAGATTTTACTATTTTTTTTTTTTTTTGCTTAACATATGTTTAATTTTCATCTGTAAAATCATGAAAACTTTGCCATAAAATAATAATTGCACAGAAACTTCAAAAATAAGTTGTTTGATATTTTTGCATTCTGTACCAAAACAAACTGCAAATAATTTTGTTATAAGTTAATAGCATGAAATATGAACAAATGTAGAAAGATAAAAACAATATTAATTTCACACTTACAGTAATTTCAACATCAGCATCAGGATATTCACCATCAGTATCACCAGCTATGTATTGCTGAGTGAAGCGTAGTTTGCCTCCATAAGATGTTAGCTTTTATATTAAAAAAGTTACATATTAACAAAATGTAAGTTTTATTTATTTCAATTTTATCATTAAAATATACCTTGTTTCCTAAAAATATAGCTGGTAGAGACCAATATAATGTTTCTTCTTTTTCTGGGCTTTGAGAAAATGAGGAATAACTAACTTCATTTTGAGCAGAATTTAATGTGATGCCTTCAGTTATAGTTTTTGCTCTATAACGATTAGTGAGTTGGAAATTATGATGGTATGGATCACCTGAGTCATCAAGTCTCATATAAATCTACAAAATTAAAGAAATTTAGTCAAAATAAGCATTTAAACATTTTGGCAGGCATCAATATCTTTACCTGATCTCTATAATAAGAGCTGCTACTGCATTGCTGAGTGACTCCAAAACAAAAGCAAGTTAGACAACCTTCTGGATTTTTTGCTTCCAAATTAAAATAGCCTTCTTTACAACGATTGCAATTTCTTCCTCTCACATGTGTCTGAAATAATTTTAATAATTAATTTTAAATCCTGGAACTAAAATATTTATAGTAATAAGAAGTAATAGGAATAGGTAGCATACTATATTATATTAAAATTAATTATTGAAAATAAAATAAATTCATTAATTGATTAATTTAATATATATTTATGAACTGCATTTTCATATGGCTCTGAATCAGGTGACATAATCAAAATTATCTTCCATTTCTTGGAAGCAAAAGATTAAGAGTGGTTCCTAATGGTTACCATTAATCTATACAGCTTAGAAAAATTTTAAATTAGCAATAAGCCAATATGCAAGGCAGAGAAGTTAAAGATTATAAAAAGCTCAATAACTCAGTGAAATGATTTATTTAAGAAATTACAAATATATCAACTTAAAGGTAATAAAAAAGCATTTTATTTTTGAAAATGACATGTTTGAGGTGACCTGCATCTCTAAGCAGATATTCCTGTATTCTTAGACACACACCAACCATTACACACTGCAACATTTCCAATTTAATTCTGGCTATTTCTTCTCTCTAATTCTGAGTTTGAGCTCAGCAATATTGTGTGGGAGGTTAATGTACAGTACATGTGAATTGGACAGGTCAAATAATGTTTCCAAAGGCTATTTAGAATTTAAATTACCATCCAAACTAATTCTAAATAATAATGTAAATTCTCTTTTTTAAGATAATATCCATAAATTCTATTAAATATTTTTATATAAATTTTGACTTAATGTAATAAAAGATACAAAGAGGAAAACAACATCCTGAAAAACTGCTGACTAATTCTTCTTTTTATGGAAAAAAGGAAAATTCGATTTCCTTTTTCTACCCCTTATCTTAATTTTTCTCACACCATCTGGCTGAATGAAACATCTAATCTTCCCGTCAGCTGATAAATTTCACAGGTATTGGAGAGATATGGAAATAAAAGAACAAATTTCCACACATTTGGGGAATTCTTGACAATTTGTCAGGTGCCAAGTCCAGCCCCTCCTGCTACTCATCCAGCACTGTCTCCAGAAGTTGAACTTCCTGCTCCTCCTGGCAGCAGATACAGTACCAGAATGTCCACCGAGGTATTGTACTATTTGTAAATGCTCTCTCTCGGTTAATAGGGAATATAGACCCATACCTCCACCCATTTTGTATTTTATTGCTTTCTTTTGTTTTTAGCTGATTAAAGTTTTAATTTGGAATTTAGTTATGGCCTCCTCTTTGGCTCCGCTTAATCTCCGACATCTTGTGGAGAGACTATGCGGCCTCCACTTGGATTCTTTTAATATTAAGCCATCCATTGACAAGGTGAGCAGATCTCTCAGATCCAACGATTAGAAGGCTCTGTCCCCTCGCCTGTATTCTCACGTACAACTTGCTTTTCAAATATCCCCACAAAGAAAGAAAGAAGGAAAGATAAACAAAAATAAAAAATCATCATGGCAATCACAAATACATCAGGAAATTTTGTGGGTCAAAAAATGTCACCATTCTTGGAGATGACACGATGGAAACAACTGTCTTACAGCAGTCATGGATATTCTGGCTGTGTGAGCTATTGCCGCATCTTATTGGAACCATGCCTAATCATTAACAAAAAGAAATCTAGTTAATTCTTGCATCAAAAATGTCAAACTGCAAGGCAGTATGCAGAGACCCATGCACTATGTTCAATGGCAACCCTCACATTCACTATATTTTCTGGGTACATACAGTTCTTTGTTGCATCCAGAGGCTTAATTTTTAGTACAGAATCAATTTCCTCAAAGTTCTTAATCCATGTCATAATGACATGTCTGGATTATTTCAATGGATATTGAACTGGCAATAAAGTAACTATTGAATAGCCATTATAGAATCATTTAAAAATAATAATATAAAAATAATGTGTCTTAATGAATAGTAAACACATGGGTGCCTGTCCATTGGTTTGTGATCACTGAATGTTATACTCTTGAAAACACAGCATCAATGAGCATCAAATTATATTTGATGCTCATTGATTCTGGATATTTGTGGGCCACCCCACAAATATCCAGAAAAATCAACTTTAAAAATCTCCCATTTCTCTGTCCGGCCTTATATTTATACAAAAATTAGGCAAAAATGCAATAAAATATATTTTGTGTATTAAGTTAAAAGTAAATCATCATTTACATCCACATATCATTTCATTTCTGACTATGAGAGGTCAGATTTGTGAACAAATTTATCAAACTTAGAACTTTTGTTCAATTTTTTAAACAAATTTTTATTTTGTGCATTTTAAATTTAAAAATTAATTCACATATTTATATTTATTTGCTTTTTGTCCAATATAGTAATAAATCTTTGGCAGTTTTCAATTGGAAAGTTTACTGAGATTTTATTAAGTCAATATATACAATATAAAATCATTTTATATTTGTATATTTAATTAGCCAAGTTATGATCTGATAAATCTGGCATTATCATTTGATTACAGTAGAACCTCGAAAACTCGGCTCTCGATAACCCGGCACTCTGGATAACTCGGCCACACCCTGGCAGGGCAAAAAAATCCTTAGTTAATTAATTTTCATTACAGACAGCTTTATAAAAGTATAAAAGCTCTCATAAAGTATTTTTCTGAGGTCTGTCTTATCAGGTAAATTACTGTATACAGTGTATTCATTAATTTTCATTTTCATGTAGTAAAGGCTCTATGCCTTCATAAAGGATGTACTTTTCCTGTAAGGATATTTGGGCAGTTTATTCTCTGTTATATTCTCAAGTAAACAATACATACAAGTACAGTACAGTATTTTCTGAGGAAACACTCGTACTTATTTTTTTTAACCCCATTCCCGATAAACCGGCATTTTCACAAACTCGGCCACCCTTCGGTCCACATTAGGCCGAGTTTTCGAGGTTCTACTGTATTGTGTTAGTGGTGGAATGTTTCCTACTTGGCTATATAGTTAGTTGTAATTTTTAAAAATTTATCTATTAAATAATAATTCTAAAATAGCAATAACTAATATTCAAAAGATAATTGCAATAATGCCAAACAATTACATTGGGCAATATTAGTAATTAATAGCATTAATATAGCCCATTGTAATCTGACAAATGCTTGGCATTAAACTAAAAATAGAGTTTATGGATTTTAATTTTTATAAAGAATATCCAAATAAAATATAATCAAATAAAATATAATATAATACTTTAATTTGAACAAAATTTCATATCTAACCTTGCAAGGACAATTATTTCGAAAGTCACAGACTGATTCCAAACTTCCACGAGCATCACATTGACATGTTGGTTCTGAAAAAATTTTATTTTAATACAGTATTATGCATAAATATCATAAGTATCTAAATGAAGTACTTTAATTAAATAGTTTTAGTTCTTTTTTTTAAGTTCTGTATATTTATTGCAGAATTTCAATTAGGTAAAGTTAATGTTTAATAATATATTCACATAACTAACTGTTCATAAAATTTCTTAAGCTAATATAATAATTGTCTATGCAATTTGATTGGTATCTGTTTATAGTATATATTACTTAAAATACTGATATACATATAATCGTTAATTATATATACAGGTTTTAAGCAATATAAAAAGATATGTGTTTAACATTAAAATTTATAATAAGAATAATAAATTAGAACTAAATGAAAATTAATGTATATAAAATTTTATTATGTAATATTTTACTTTGGTCCAACTGTATTTCACTTTATATGTTAATCATTTACAAACCAACCAGGATACATATCAGAATTAGTCAAAATGGGATCTGATAGAATAACTGAAGTTCAATCAATTCTAGTACAATAATAATGTCTGTTACATAATAATTTTGTCTCTCATGTTCTCAGATATAAGTATATATATATTGTATAAATGATATTAGCAAGATACCAGTTAAATCAAACTATCATGCATAATACTTAATTCAAAATTACAGAGATGCCAACCTTAGAAGACAGCCATCAGTATACAAGATCATATGTCATGGTTGAAGAGCCATGTGGTGTGAATGGAGGAGTAATGCCTCCATCCACTGCCATCTTCTAATATAATGTTATCACTCTAATTTTAAGATATGAATAAACTCTTAATTTTACTCTAAAAGTTCTAACGTTTTAAAATTTTCATCTGAAACAAATTATAAAATTATAATGTTACTAGGCTTTGCCCCATTTGCTTCTTTTGTTAGCCACTTTGGCTTTTGTCAGTTATACAAATTTTATTCTATGTCATGCACAGACGATAAGGTCTTTTTGCTTGGACTTTTCCAGCAAATTCAATCATAAAGGCCGAAGGCATATATCATTTTTAAATGCAAGCATGAGTCATTTTTTGAGAGGTTTTAGCACAGCTATGCAACTTAGTCATGCACAAGAACAATTTTCAACAGACACCCCCAAGTACTTCCAGTGCTTCCAAATGGCTGTTTGTACATTCCACATTATTAGTAAGAATATGCCAATTGGTTTGGGATTTGGCACTAACTATTCATGTTATTGCATTAGCACATTATTTGAGAGTATAAAAGATCATTCCATAGTTTTACAGGATTACCTGTAAGTCTGTAATTTACACATGACTTCCTCAAAGCTATGAAAAATCTGTAATAGTTGGCATCTCTGAAATTATGTAAACAAATAAAAAGAACTTTAACCTTTATTTTTCAAAATTATTTCAAATCAGTGACTAATGCATTTATAGGAGCACTCAACTAACATAACATATAATTATTATGAGAGAGAAAGAAAGTTTGATAAAGAAATTAACAATTATTTCTACATATATATTATTTATTTTAGTGTGTTTTAGTTTTGTATCTGAAAATAATTGTTTAAACAGTCAAAAGCATTGGTTCAAAAATTCTAAAATAAAAATCAGCTGAATCTCATTTTTTTCATTCATCTCTCAAATCAAAGGAAATCTAAAGAATGAATAACAGTAATAAAAAGATAGATTTAATAATAATAAAAAAACAAACAAACTACTAAAGTACAAACTATCAAAACAATCAGAAATGTCTTGGCTATCTTGATTTAGGTCATCATCAGTTAACAGAATACAATTTTTCTTAAAGGCAGCTGATTTAAGGGTATACAGACTACTCTATAATGATGGACAAATTAATTACGTTAGAAAAATCAGGCATATACATAATTCCCTTACAACACCAAAACAACGATAAAAAAAGTGATATATATTGGGGCCATAAGTAGAAAATTGCAAAGCTGAATATTAGAATATCAAGATGACATTTGTAAAAATAAAATTTCCACAGAACTATTTACCTTACACCCATGGAAGAAATCTTCCATCCTTGTACAATGTGAAGACTGCAACTGTTTATTCATCTGAGAAACATTATTTATTGAAAAATTAGAGCTGTGTAATAGACCCACTTTAGAGCACCCAAAAATATGGGTTTCACTATTTAATAATTTTAAAAATTTAATCCCAGCTGCCAATAATTTTCAATTATAGTTTGACTTAATTAAATATGTAATTTAATAGCACATCATTTAAATTTAACACATGTACCAATTACTACAAATTAGTGTTAAACATTTAAAAATATGTTCTAATTGCAGTTCTCATGTTNTGTATTCCTGCAAAAACAAAAATTTTATGTATTTTTAAAATATTTATTCTATATTTAACTTATAAGCCTATAATAAATTTTTTTGTTCTTGAAAGCAATGCTTACATGAGTTTTGTTTTTATAAAAATCTTGTCTTAAACTTATGATTTCAATAGTTTCTACTTAAGACAATCTTATCAAATATAATAAGTAGTTACCTACCTAGCAGCATTTGTTTCTGTTGTATGTGTTGCTTTAATTAATATTCTATCTAAATCTGCTAATGCCATCAGAAAAAGTTCTCTGGGAACTGGTTGGCCATCTGATCTTAGCCAAGAATTCTATATAATAGATATATACATATTAAAACAAAAACATATCAATATAACAAATATATTAACACTTATAAACACATACCTCATACATAGGTATTGATATTGATTGAGGCTCACCTTCTCTGATACGATGGTGATGTCGATATATTAAAAATATTCCATTTCCCTGATTAGACATGATATAAAGGTATTAATTTCCAATTTATTTAAAACAAAACACTAATTTTTAAATTTATTAAAAATGTTTAAGAAACCAACATTATTCACAGTTTATGTTTTGAACTTAAAAATTAAAATTTAATTTAAAAATAAATTTTAAATAATAAATAAATTGATCTGACTTCATTAGAAAGAAAACTTGAATATGGTTGAATTTAATAATATATTTACTGAATGCCTGTGTATGGTATCTCTAATGACATAACAAGTGTGCGACTTTATTTTCAAGATTTTGGAAATAGAGCCTTTTGCCTTTGGCAATACAACTTCTGTGATACTTTCAAAAATGTTATAGAAAATCAAAACAAATATATTACCATAAGTTCTACATCAGGATCAGTATTTGCTTCAGAACGAAGTCCAGACTGATATGCAATCGTAAAATTAAGTTTTCCCCCATAAGCTGTGACCTAATAAAGTGTTTAATATCAAATTATAAAGTAAAAATTCTAATATCAGTTTAGTCAATATTTAATTTATTCTTAATTTTATCTGATAATTTACCTTATCACCAAGGAATTGTGAAGGTAGTTGCCAAAAATATGTTTGAATTGGATGCAAACCAAAATTTCTAAATGTTAACGCTCTTGTCCTAAAATCAATCTGTAAGTTATGGTCAATACTGTAAGTTCTCATATTATTAGTCAAAATGACTCCAGTATATCCAGTTGATGGTCTTAAATATTCCTAAAAAAAGTACAAAATGAATAAAATACAAATATAACTATCAGGCTTAGAGATGCTTATATTAAAGTCAAACAATTGCCAGATTAACAATAGGAGTAATATAGCCTGATCTAACCCAACAATCATTTGACTTTAAATAAAATATATAAAACATTAAAAACTATATTTTTAATATAAATATTTGATCAAAGAAAAATAAATATAAAATTTATTACTTAAGCTCAGTTTAATATTTTGCAGTTTATCTTTTAAAATATTTTTGGATAAAATTTTTTTACTTTTGTTATTACCACCATAATAACCTGCCTATAGCCTGTATATTATGCATTAAAAAAAAATCCTTCTGACTTCCATGGTGCAGATTATAGGCTGCTGCATGTGATTTCTAACAATTTTTCCATACCAAAAAATGACTACAAATTATTTTATGTATCAGGTATTTTATCAAGTCAAGAAAACTTCTTAACATAAAAAAGTAAAGTAATTTTATTTTGTTATTTATCATGTTAAGAAGACTTCTTAATATAAAAAGTAAAATCAGTTTAGAGTCATTTTTTACTTTCCTGGCTGTTATATATAAGAGAGGAAAAATATGGCAATTTGTCAAAAATAATCTTCCAAGAGTTTTACATTTTTGGACAAATGAGATCTTAAAATGTGAAGAATTGCAAAAGAATTTAGGGAAATTTTTTTCTATATGTATGGATGTTAGTGTGAGTTTGAGTATGTGTGTATGTGGAAAGGCATGATTTCGTTCACTCACTTTGAAACTTGACTCCTGATTGGTAGATTGATGCTATTAAAGTTTCGTGGTTAAAAGTTTGGGGATGGGGAGATAGAGGGGAGGTCACATGTCATATCTTGAGTTGGGTCAGACTTAATGGAGATGTTATGAGTATTTGTTATTACTATTTACAATTTTTATGAAACTCATCACTATCCTCAAAATTAAGCTTTTTGCCATTTTATAATAATAAATTATATAAAAAGTTTTTAGAATAAATATAACAGACAATACCACCATTAAAATTTTTACCTGGAAAGTTATGCAACTCATTGCTGGATTTTGAAGAAAAAATTAAGCTAACAGATCATTTACATTTGCTTCTCAATGGAATATAGTGTTATTTACATGTCTGTCAGCTTTTAAATAAAAATCATCTTTGCACATGTTTATTAGAAATATATTTTAAGCTTAATTTAAGATATTTTAGTGTTTTAGTTTAGATGTTATTAATCATTATTAATTATCTGAATCTTGTTTCCTATTAATAAAAAGAGAATTGAATATTTGATCTTCTATGGAGAAACTTTGTTTTAATAATGAATTCAGAGGGTTCTTTTAATATATATGATATTTAATTATGAAATTTTATTAATACAAAGATTCACAAATATACTATGATGATAAACATATTCAAAAGGGACCAAAAATTATACTGAGGGAGAATTGCAATCTATGTAAAACTGACTATTTTTGTGACATCTGTCCTATGGTTATATTGCAGGCATTGATGCATAATTAAGGTGTAGAGAATTAAGACATTACTATAGCATACTAAGGAATGACATCTTTATTTTCAAGAATGCCTAAACTCTGCACTGCCTGGCCAGACACGACAATTCTGATTGTTAATTTTTACTTATTTATCATTAATTCAGTTTTAATTTTATTATACAATTGAAATTAGAATGATAATTTCAGACTGAGCAGCTCAGCATAAAGTTAGTTTCATTTTTGAGGCATACTTAAGATAGAAGGAGCATACACTCCTAAAATTATAAAATATAACAAAACTAAGACTTTCTGAAATATATATACAGTATCTAATTAATTATTATTATTATTATTATTATAAATAAAAAACTTTCTACCTGATCTCTGTGCCATGTACTGCTTCCACAAGCCTTTGTCACACCCATACAAAAGCAATCAAGACATCCAAATGGAGATTCATGGTGAAGATAAAATGTATTTGGTCTGCATTGATCACATCTTGAACCAGTAACATATGGCTAAAAAAGTTAAAAAGTAACAAATGATTAAATTTTTGAAATTTTTATTTTTATAAACATTTATATATCATGTATAAATTGTAACATTTGTATATTGATAATTTTAGCTGTAAATATTTTTATGTAACATGATACAAAAATACAAATAAACACATCATATTTCAACTTGTCACTATTGCTCTCACATTTCTCCCAACAATGTTCTGTTTGTAATTTTTATATGTAGGCTGGTTTTTTTCAAGCTCCAATGGTCTATAAGAAAAAACACAAATTCACTTTGTTATTTATACTTATTACCAAAAGTTAGGTACAAACATGGTTACTTTTCTACCACCAATGTCTTGAGATGGGCCCTAACATTGTTTTGAAGATTGTCAGTCTTGAACCTCTGCCCTCCTAGCCAGTTTTCCTGTTCAGGAAAAAGATGGAAGTCGCTTGGCACTATACACTGGGTGTTTGAAGGTGGTGAAGACTTCCACCCAGCTTAAAACTTTTTAATGTGTGAAGACTTCCACCTCTTTCCTGAACTGAAAATGTGGCTAGTAGGGCAGAGGTTTGAGACTAATGACGATCTTCAAAACAACATTGTTAAGACAATCTCAATTCACTAGCGGCAACATTCTATGACAAGGGGATGGAGAAGCTCATCCATAGATATGACAAATTCCTCAATCTTCATGGTGATTATGTCGAAAAGTAACCATGCTTATACCTAACTTTTGGTAATAAATTCATTTTGTTATTTACACTTGATTTTGTTTTATGGACCATCGGAGCTTGAAAAAAAAAAACGCCCTGTGGTTTGAAGAGTCCTATTACAAGATCGAGGTTGAATGACTGAAATAATAATAAAATCATAGCTTAGGTCACCTGGCTTCAGAATTTTGATTAATTTTTTTTTCAGTTTTTTTTTTTTGCTTTTTAAAAAGTTTGGTGTTTCAGAACAGCTGGCAAGGTTAAACTCAATACTAAAAATAGACAAAATTATTGACAATGGCAGGCTGCAATTTTTAATTTATTTAATTTAAAATATATTCTCTCCAGCTCAAATTAGTAGTGGCTTGTCCCCATACATCATTCTTTTCCTTTAACAAGTCACTTTTTTTTTTTTTTTTTTTTTGCATTTAACAAGAGAAATTGAAATTCTTCTTACTAACCATAGCTGAGAAATTGACTTATATGACATTATAATTTGGATGCATTGTACAATATGGCGCTTCCTGTACTTGTCTTTGTTATAATTTATATGCGAGAAAGCACCTATGCACAAATATGTTAAACCAAGCATAGTGAGAACATGAATTCTCATTATTCAAAGAATCTGTGGCTGTTAAGCTCACTTCAAAATTTTTGGCTTATTTATCTGTCCTTTGCAGTGATTTCTGGAGATCTATCATCTCTAACTGTAAATTCTGCTGATGTCCAGCAGGAAAATAGAGCTGTTCTTCCAAAATACCTTCTCTAACATATCACATATCATTATTGTTATGTGATATGTTAGAGAAGCTTGGTAATGTCTTATATATTTTATTTAACTGGCTTATATGTTCAAATATATCTGACAGAAATGTTAAATGTGTGATTATGAACTATCCATGAACTATAAAAATTGCTGCTTCTGTGATGTTGGCTGAAGAATTTTAAGAAATTTGTTGACTGTTCAATATCTCTACTCAGTGTTCTTTTTCTAAAAATATGGCTGTTGGTACACATATATGGTGACTAAAATATTCCTGCTTATTGCTTTGGATTTACAGTCAGTTGCTAAGTAATCACCTTTTAGTAACCATGTTTTTTTACCTTTCCCTTTAAAAATATTATCATTAGTGCTTCTTTGTATCTTGCTTCTTAACAAGAACATAGTGAAGATAGACATTCACCAGACAGTATTATGAGGTCATCAAAAGATTCTACTGATTCAAATCAAGCTAAATAAATAAATCACTCTGCTCTGCAAAGTGATATTAGCTTATATTGGATGAATAAGGAGAAAAAGGAAAAAATAAGTATTAAAATTTGCATTTTTTTCCTACCAGTTTTAGAGGGCTGTACAATATTGATAGAAAAATTATTAACCAGAAAAGGAAAAGCATGCTAACTTATAAACATGCAATTGGCTGGCAGTCCAGATTTAGATTGCTGCCATCAGTTGAGTAGGGGTGCTATAGCATGTGCATCAGACAATGGATAATTTGTTTGGTCAGTGTGTTGATTGACTGTCTAACTCAAGAATTGGCTGACTTGATATTGATCTTAATGTGCATTTTATCAATAAATTAAACTTTAAAATTCTAGAATTGTTATTCAAAGCTAGAAATTAACTTTAAAAATCTACAACTTATTGATGTTAAACATTGCTTTATTGGAGAAACTAACAAAAAAACTTGTCTGATATTTTACCAAAATAGTTTTGAACTTTTTAGGCTCATCATCAGTGGGAAATCAAATACAAAATTCTGAATTTCATCAATGAAATTATTGAGTTGATAGAATTTAGAATTTCTGTTTGATTGTCCCTCATAATGAGTCTAAAAAGCTCAAAAGTACTGAAATATCAGACAAGTTTTTTTGTTAAAAAAAGCAGTTTTTAATGTAATGAATGTAATGGAAATGGATAAATTTTTGAATTATTTATATTAAATTTTAACAAAGCCAAGGAAGCTAAATATTCTACAGTATGTTATGCCTGAAGTCATTTATCAATCACCTCATTTTGACTTAACCAAATAGGAACCAAATTTTATACTTATTTTTTTTAAACACAATAAAATCATTTTCAATGAGATATTTGTCTTTTACTATTTAATTTTTTTGCAGTGTGTTTTAAATAATAATTATTTTTATTCATTTAATTTGGTAAGTGTAGGGGAAAAGACATTTAAAGCTTTGTTTTCCAATGTGAGAACCTGGGCTAATATTTTCTTGTAATTTTGACGATCTTAATCTTATTTAATTTTTCAAAAATTAAAAGAGAGGATTATTTTATTTTAGCAAATTCCACAGAGGAACTTTGCAAGATTTTCCCACCAATAACACTTTCTTCGTGGGTGACACATTCCACTAAAAACTATTCATCGAAGGAAGTGTCACAAAAAAATTTGGGATTGGACTAACCATCAGCNAAAAACGCTCCTAGTGAGAATTAGATCGGTCACCGTTAGTGATAACAATTAGATGGGAAAGTTGACACATAGGTGCCAAGAATGCGCCGTTATTGTCAACAAAAGTATAAAAATATTAGACTTGGAATAGTAGAAATTAAATTAAAATAAATAAATAATAAGAAATAAATGAATGAGTAAATAAATAAATACATTATAAGTATTTATGAATTAAAAAAAAATTATACATGAGAATCGAACCCGAGAACTCAAGCTTATGAATCAGACTTGTTACCACTCTGCCACAGGACACTCGAATAGAAGTACGTATAATTTATATATAAAGTGCTAACAAAACTTTAAGTTCGATTTTCTCAATTATATTTGAGTATTGCACTTTAGTATTTTACAGGTAGTACACTCACATCGTGTACCTCTACACCAAAGATCATCAAAATCCATTACCCCAAAGCCGTAGGCTCTCCTTGTTAGAAAAATATACATCTATAATATTTATATCAGTATGAATATGAATATATATATATTCATATTCATATAGACCTAGCTATATCAAAACATCCACAACATACAAAATACATGCACTAAGAAAATATGTAAATACTCAGAACTCACCCACAAAATAAAGCATCTATTGAGAATGGATGGGATACTTATCAAGTCTATTAGTCTCTTCTTGAACAAGTATCATACTACATACACTATATTTGAACAGTGTAATTTGCGTGCTGATGAGACACAGCTAAATGCTTTACACTTACTGGCTAAACGTGAATCTTTTTCAGGTCTCATATTAAGAATATTTTGCTATAAATATTTTTTGTATTGGAGATTTCTTGAGATCATAGGTGTTATCTTTTACAAAACCAAAAATCTTAAAGCTGTAAGAGAGATTCATAAAGTTTTGTGTAATATACGTGGCACCTTGGCTAATTGCTGCTTATAGTGTGGATTGTCTGAGAGAAATTGGAAATATCTGTCCAAAGTTTTCTTCATTTGAAATAATTTTTTGATTATTTATAAGTGAATTCTGCAATTTCTATTTATCTCTCTACTTTATCTTAAAGACATAGCTCCCCACTTTTTCTGTGAAGCTTAGCACAAATTTATTTAAATGTTATATGGTAGTTCTTATAAAACTTTGTTTAAAGTGAATTTAATGTAATTACAAAAAAAACACAACTTTAATTAATTATTGTATTCTGTTTTTATAAATTTTACTTTGATCCCCACCTTTTGACCCACATCTTGGGGAAAACTCATCATGATTAAATAAATAAATAATCATAAATAACAGGTTAATTTTTAAAAATTATCTGCATAATTGGCAAATAATTTGTTCATTCTTTCTTTTGTGAGATTTTATAACAAAGGTTATTAATTTATTAACTAAAAATACTTATTAACACAAATAACTGATAATGGAATTAGTAAAATTAAAACAAAACAAGTCATTGTAATTCATTGTAATAAATGCACTATAAAATTATTAAATACTTTATACTTCAATACCTTACACTGGCAAAGTCCAGTTGAAGGACTTGGCTCTGAAGTTAAACTGCCAATAGTATTGCACTGAATTCCTCCTAAATATACAATAAAGTCAATTTAATATCTGAAATTTATTATAAATATGTATTTTTTGAATATACAAATAAATAAATGTATATATATTGTATAAATGATATTAGCAAGATACCAGTTAAATCAAACTATCATGCATAATACTTAATTCAAAATTACAGAGATGCCAACCTTAGAAGACAGCCATCAGTATACAAGATCATATGTCATGGTTGAAGAGCCATGTGGTGTGAATGGAGGAGTAATGCCTCCATCCACTGCCATCTTCTAATATAATGTTATCACTCTAATTTTAAGATATGAATAAACTCTTAATTTTACTCTAAAAGTTCTAACGTTTTAAAATTTTCATCTGAAACAAATTATAAAATTATAATGTTACTAGGCTTTGCCCCATTTGCTTCTTTTGTTAGCCACTTTGGCTTTTGTCAGTTATACAAATTTTATTCTATGTCATGCACAGACGATAAGGTCTTTTTGCTTGGACTTTTCCAGCAAATTCAATCATAAAGGCCGAAGGCATATATCATTTTTAAATGCAAGCATGAGTCATTTTTTGAGAGGTTTTAGCACAGCTATGCAACTTAGTCATGCACAAGAACAATTTTCAACAGACACCCCCAAGTACTTCCAGTGCTTCCAAATGGCTGTTTGTACATTCCACATTATTAGTAAGAATATGCCAATTGGTTTGGGATTTGGCACTAACTATTCATGTTATTGCATTAGCACATTATTTGAGAGTATAAAAGATCATTCCATAGTTTTACAGGATTACCTGTAAGTCTGTAATTTACACATGACTTCCTCAAAGCTATGAAAAATCTGTAATAGTTGGCATCTCTGAAATTATGTAAACAAATAAAAAGAACTTTAACCTTTATTTTTCAAAATTATTTCAAATCAGTGACTAATGCATTTATAGGAGCACTCAACTAACATAACATATAATTATTATGAGAGAGAAAGAAAGTTTGATAAAGAAATTAACAATTATTTCTACATATATATTATTTATTTTAGTGTGTTTTAGTTTTGTATCTGAAAATAATTGTTTAAACAGTCAAAAGCATTGGTTCAAAAATTCTAAAATAAAAATCAGCTGAATCTCATTTTTTTCATTCATCTCTCAAATCAAAGGAAATCTAAAGAATGAATAACAGTAATAAAAAGATAGATTTAATAATAATAAAAAAACAAACAAACTACTAAAGTACAAACTATCAAAACAATCAGAAATGTCTTGGCTATCTTGATTTAGGTCATCATCAGTTAACAGAATACAATTTTTCTTAAAGGCAGCTGATTTAAGGGTATACAGACTACTCTATAATGATGGACAAATTAATTACGTTAGAAAAATCAGGCATATACATAATTCCCTTACAACACCAAAACAACGATAAAAAAAGTGATATATATTGGGGCCATAAGTAGAAAATTGCAAAGCTGAATATTAGAATATCAAGATGACATTTGTAAAAATAAAATTTCCACAGAACTATTTACCTTACACCCATGGAAGAAATCTTCCATCCTTGTACAATGTGAAGACTGCAACTGTTTATTCATCTGAGAAACATTATTTATTGAAAAATTAGAGCTGTGTAATAGACCCACTTTAGAGCACCCAAAAATATGGGTTTCACTATTTAATAATTTTAAAAATTTAATCCCAGCTGCCAATAATTTTCAATTATAGTTTGACTTAATTAAATATGTAATTTAATAGCACATCATTTAAATTTAACACATGTACCAATTACTACAAATTAGTGTTAAACATTTAAAAATATGTTCTAATTGCAGTTCTCATGTTAATGTTAAAATTTATATCAACGTTCTAAAATTTGTTTTTGTTCTGCCTGAAGAAGACATTCTATACATGTCAAAAGTGCTTGTGAGATTTTTTTGTGTTCATTTTTGTGTTTTACTCATCAAAACTTTAAGATAAAATTTTATTAATGCTGAAAGACAGTTATCTGATAGAAATCTGGCATAACAAAATAATAATTTCTTTCATACTCCATTGAAAGATGTAATTTATTCTTTAAAACTAAATTACAGCATAGATAGCATGTAATAAAATATCATAAAAGTAACAAACATAGATTATCTGAAATGGTTTCTCCATTTGTCCCTTTTTCACACCAGGAACCCCTCTCAAACATGCTGAGGTTCAACCTTTTATTTGAAACTAGGACCTCATTAAATTATGTAAAAGGAAGTCCACCAGTGATTGAATAATATTACAAAATAAATTACATTTAAAAAATAATAATCCAGGACATCAAAGTTCATTAAAACAACAAATGTAGACTATCCAAATTGATGTCTTCACTTGTCCTTTTTCACATCCATCTTTTACATAATTTACTGAGGTTGTAGCTTCAAATAAAAGGTCAAACCTCTGTTTTAGAAGTGTTCCTGGCACGAAAAAGAATAAGTGAAGACATCATTTTGGAAAGTCTACATTTCTTATTTTAATGAAATTTAACATCCTGGATAATTATTTTTTAAATATAATATCAACTGGCATCAAGTGATATTAATAGTACTTCATATCATTTCATTAATTGATGTGCAATATCATTTGTTATCAGTTGATTTTAGATAGTTTCAGAAAACAAAAGGACAAATAAAGACTCCTCAAAAGCTGGAACTTTCTTATAACCAATTAAATACTAACTTCTTTACTTTTTCTAGCATACAATTTATTATAACACAAACGTTTTTGGCCTCATTTAGGGGCCTGCTTCAGGTTTTTCAACAATAAAGTGAGTGTTCAAAACTGCAATGTTCTATTATTTAGAACAATGTTTTAAATTGCAGTGTTCCATCTTAAATAAGATCTTTTAAAATCAAAGACACAAAATAACATGGCTATTGTACAGAAAATTCAAAAACAAACAATATTTAAAAATTACAAGGAAATAATGGAACTAAATAAAACGGACATGATACCAAACAACTTGAACAAATAATAATGTGCATTCAATGTTATATAAAATTATATAATAAAATTGTTTATTGGAAAAAGTAAGGAAGATGGTCTCTTGTTTGTGACAAGACATGTCTTAAAGGTTATCATTTGAAAATAAAATGCTTTGCATTCTCTAGTAAAACTAAACTAATTTCAAATGAAACAATATTTGTTTTCATGAAGTTTAAGAAACAAAATTGAAAGTTTTAAACATTTTATGATCTGATTTATAACTATTAAATGGAAAAATTAAATAATCAAATAAGACTCAAATATTTTACTTTCACTAAATTCTAGAAGAATTCTGTTTTATTTTATAAAGTAAAACCATTTATAATTCGCATAATAAATATGATAGTATAAAGTGGTTTAGCTTGTTCAATTGAGATGGAAAATAGACTTCACTTATTATAAAGAAATTGAATTATTTAGATTTTATTCCTCTCATAATGATTTTTTAACAATATTTTTAATTTATGAAGTTTGAAACGTTATATACAAAATTTAATTTTACCAATGTGCAATTACAGTTAATGAAAAGTTAAAACTCTTAAATACAGATAAATGAGATGTTTATAAATGTGAACTATTTTAACAATGTTTTTATAACTCAATGCATTTTTGCCAAAAAAAAGAGTATAGCATTAAATAATGTAAAATTTTAAAACTATTTCTGACCTCTTATTCTACAACTACCACCAGGAACATTTGGATTTCCTTCATAACCAGGAGCACATCTTTCACAGCGTCGGCCCTCATATCCAATTGGGCAAGCATCACAAGTAATTTGTCCATCAGATTCCAATCTACATGTTGGTGAAAACCTAAAAGCATTTTAAATTTTAGATTCTGTATTATATTCAATTTTCAAATAGAATACATTGATGATAAATTTTAAGTATTTGTTTCTTATTTCCTAGGATTTTACCATTCTGATGGAAATCCTTCAACCCAAGAATTCCTCAGGCTGCATGTAAAATAATTGTTTTATCTAACCCTCTTATAAATATATACATAATTGAACAGAAGAAAAAATATTAGTATTAATTATTGAGATACTTACTGATTTGAAGGTGTAATCAAGGGACAAGGACATCGTTGACAATCATCTACAGTACCTCTCCTGGCATCTCCATAAAAGCCACGTTTACATCTTTCACATTGTCTTCCTTCAGTATTATGATTGCAGTTCTGAAAATATTAAATTAACATGTAGTTTATAAATTTTAATGCTTTTATAAATATTGAGCAACAATAATTAGCAGATTTTTATAAATTCATTACTACATCCATCACAGAATAATTATGTATATTTGAAATTAGTTTACAGTTAATATTCTATTTTAACTTTTGGANACTGTAAATAAAAAAATGCTATATGCAAGGTTATACAGTATATAATGTTGCATATTGTATCATAAAGTGTACAGAAAAAAAGGAATGAAATAATGATTAAAACAAAAGAAAATGTACAGAAGTATATTATGCTAATGTTACACACTTAGTAATCTTTCAAATACCATAACATTCACCAGAAAAGTGTGCAATAAAATTTTATTATAAAACATTAAAGAAAATTAAAGCAGATGGTGGAATATTAGTTGCTGGATGTAGATGCTATAGCACAGGGCTGTCTTCTGAAGCATGCTTCCAGATTGGAAATGCTACAAGGCACAAGCTGCTTGAATTCAAATTCTAACAGTTTTTATGCTTCCACTTAAGTCACATTGGCCATTGTATGTGTGAAATATCTTATTTCAAAACATTATAAATCAAGGAGCATCTGTAGTTAATCAGAGCTTCCTACCCCTGAGATCTAGGGAGGCCCTAAGGTATGCAAATTGAAAATTGTAGCCAAACAACATTGCTGGCTGACTCATAAATGTTTCTTTGAAGAGACAGAAGATTTCATGATTGTCATACAAGACTGAGTCATAAATACAAAAACTACAGCAAGCACCTCCTAAAAGACAATACTCATATAGCATTTTCTGCCAGTGTCTTCTATCATATACAAAACTATACAACATATCAAATCTGGTTGCATACTTTTTAGCACAGTTTAACTATTTACATTTGACATAGCCAAATTGCAAACACAATACATCCAAAGCATGCAAACAAACACAAACTATTACACATGCAGCAATCATACTACAAACACACTCTTCAGACTGTCTTACAAGGAGAGCCTACGGCTTTGGGGTAACGGATTTTGATGATCTTTGGTGTAGAGGTAGTACACGATGTGAGTGTACTACCTGTAAAATACTAAAGTGCAATACTCAAATATAATCGAGAAAATCGAACTTAAAGTTTTGTTAGCACTTTATATATAAATTATACGTACTTCTATTCGAGCGTCCTGTGGCAGAGTGGTAACGAGTCTGATTCGTAAGCTTGAGTTCTTGGGTTCGATTCTCGCGTATAATTTTTTTTTAATTCATAAATACTTATAATGTATTTATTTATTTACTCATTCATTTATTTCTTATTATTTATTTATTTTAATTTAATTTCTACTATTCCAAGTCTAATATTTTTATACTTTTGTTGACAATAACAG